AGTGCATTGAATAATATTAAAAATCATAATTGTGACAACTCATCACTCTTATTACTTACTACTCTCTCTCTTTCTTTCATGAAGTAAAGTTGTATATAGACGCGATTATATCTAGCTATAGGGGAAAATGACTTCTCTGAAAGCAGCTTCTTCGTTGAACTGAAAGTGTTTTGTTTTCATTAATATCTGGATGGTTGGGGATTATTCATGAATCACGCAATAAGGTAGGAGAAAAGAAGAGTTGAAAAAAAAGATAAAAATTAGTTAAATGGGAAGGGAGAGAAAGAGAGATAGTGAGAGAGTGTGAACAGTTGCAGAATCTCACTCCTTATTAATCGAATCAGCACACAACATGAACACTAATAATGACAATAACACTAATAATAATAATGGCTGGATAAAATGTTTACACAGTGTACAAAATTCGCTGAGTAATTTATTGCATATTATTTCCTTCTCATCCAGGATCTTCAATTAAAATAGGAATTTATAGTATACCATGTGACGCAATACAGTTCGATAATAATCTTTTGTGAACAAGATTCTCATATTCAACACCAATGTCAAGTTGGTCCTTCTTTACGGGTCAGAAACTTGGCCAGCGTGTCACGAAAAGGATTCCCAACAGCTTCTTACAGATTTTCATCAACGGCTGTCCACTTCGCTGGCTGACTCCAAACTGAAGATCAAATGACCAGAAAGTATTAGTAACAAGAAACTGTGGCTGGGAACAAACCAACAAGCAAGAACCGATAGCTCAACAGATCTGTAGGAGAAAGTGGAGATGGATCAGGTATACATTGAGCCGCGAAATGCAGGTCATCACTCGAGTGGAGTCCAAATGGGGAGCGACGAGTGGGTCGTCGGTGCGAGGGTAACATGGAGGAGGTCGTCTGAGGAAGAGATGAGAGAGTTTTGGGCAATCGTGGAGCTAGCCAGCTGATGAGGATGGCGGAAAATAGAAGAAAGTGGAAATGTGTTGTTGAAGCTGTATGTTTCACTCGGAACTCAAGGGAACAATAATAATAATGGTATGTCTCCACCATCTTTGAGAAATGGCTACAGGTGTTTTGAACGCTAATTAAAAATCTGCGTATGAGTAAATTTCGTGACTCAAATATATAACTGAATGCTTAAAACAATAAGAATTAGAGAAAATATGATGCATTGCGTGCGTGTGTGTTTGTGTTGAATGGAAAGTCAGTTAGCCAAGTGATTCAAGTAGGCCACCTTGTAAGAATGAAGAAACATCAATCTCATGTACATTGTTTGGAAAGCTCTATTAGGGGAATAGTACCAATATAAAGCAAAAACTATAAGTTTCCAAGCATTGGTTTTGTAGGGCTTCTGTTTGGTTGGTTGGAAGATTTCATCATGAGCTGACTGACATCAGTTAGAGAACTATTGGAAAACCACCTGGGAGTACTGGATAGTCAGCTGTTTCGCCGGCCTAGTTTGGGATTCTTCGTCAGTACGCATTCACCGCCAGGACCTTCTGGTTTCAGGGCTAGCGAGCTCGTAGACCATTAAGCCACTGGGACCCGATCCAATGGCCAGTCAATGAATTCTAACTTTTGCCAATTCACGACGTAGCGTGACCAATTCTCAATGTCTTCTTCGATGAGTAACTGTCCTCATGTTCAACCTGCTGTGCCCTACTGATCACGGCTTCCCACTAGAACCCCAGGTTAACTGCCTGAATAGCGCCAGGCGCAAGTGAGCATCAGGTCGATTTTCAAGTATTGATTATTCGTAGGGAATTTGTTTGATTTGTTGGAGGATTTCATCGTGAGCTGACATCAGTTTTCCATCAGGTTTTCCAATGGTTCTCTTTAATCACTGTCAGCTCATGATGAAATCAGACAGAAATGCGTGCAAAACCAATACTTGAAAATTTATCCATCTTTCCATCTTTCTTACACTACTCCTTTCTCAAAGTATTCAATTTCTATTGTTCTAAAGTTAATTTTATCCTTCTACGTGTATAAGTTATTGGTATTAGATGGTTGGAGGCAATCTACAGGAAGCAACACCTGACCTAGGTTTCGTGTCAGCTGGGACTCACCAGTCAGCAAGGCGTGTCTGCAACCTTGAGGGAACTCATGTCCCTTCTGAGATTCAGTAATATGCATATATATGTTTTCAAGATTTGGTTTGTAAGGATTAGTTTTGTTTTCACGAGTTGATCACGCATTGATATCAGTTAGAGAACCATTGAAAATCACAAGGGAGTACTGGACAGCTGTTTCATCCTAGTTTGGGAGTCATCGGCAGTACGCACCCAAGACGTTCCGGTTATAAGGCAAGCTCGTACACCATTGCGCCACTGGGACCTGATTCAGTGGCCCATGAACTCTAACTTTTGCCACCGATATTCGACTTAAGTGGTTCCTCAGTACTCATATCATTCGATAATATATATATATCTATATTCTCTCTCTTTCTCTCCAACTTCCTCTTATTGTTTGTTGTCACTTTCCATATCTGCAGTATAGGCGATGCGTCGCGTCATTCTGATTGCACGTGTGCCGTGTTCAATCGACAAACAGAGCTCTCTATCTCCGCATAACTATATTACTTTTTAATACTTTCATCCTGTCCTATTCACCCTATCGCTGTGTGATTACAGTGGAAGTGAATGCAGTGCGATGGCTGAGCTCTCTTTTTTTTCTAGGTTATTTAACTTAGCGGGATCAATCATTTTAGGTCTAGGTAAATGTTTTATGTTCCAATAATCTAGTTGACTCCGATCTACTAGTTTGACCTATGTAATTCACCTCACTCACAGTCATTACATGGTATTTGATAAATTATATTATTCTTTTTAATTGGATCTTAATTGGGTCCTTATGCCGACAAAGTTTATGTCTGAGAGAGTTGGTTGGTTGGTAGGTTTAAATGCCACCTACCTTAATTCTAGCCTCTCTGAGAATCCTTTGTAAGACCTCTTATGTTCCTTCTTTATACGCCAGTGCTACAAAGGCTTTCAATTCTATAATACTTTTGTTATTTTCGTCATTTCTACTGCTATTATTATTATATTATTATTTCCTTTAATTCCTAGAGGAACATGGGGCTTCAGCCGCGTGTCTCAATTGCGTTCGGTTTTCTGCTAGAGTTTTCACCTGGCTCCAAGTCTGCCCACACGCTTTCATCTCCTCTTCACATGACCTCCTCCAAGTCACCCTTGGACAACCAACTCGCCACTTCCCATTCGGGTTACACTCGAGCGATGACCTGGCGTGTGATGTCACTCACTTGATGGTTTGTTTTCTCAGAGTATGGCCAATCCATCTCCATTTCTTCCTGCCTATTTGTTTCACAATCGGTTCCTGGTTGGTTAGCTCCCAGAGATCTCTGTTGCTGATCTTCTCTGGCCATCTGATCTTGAGTATTGAACGAAGATAGCTGTTAATGAAGGTCTGTAGTTTGTTTGAGATGCTCTTTATGACGCGCCAAGTTTCTGATCCGTATAGTAAGTAGCACTGACTTCACATTGGAGTTGAAAATCCTGATCTTATTTTTGATGCTGAGTGCTGCTGACCTCCACACAGACTTGAGAGTAGTGAAAGCTTGTCTTGCTTCCCCGATTCTTCCTTTGATATCCTCATCAGTTCCGCCTGTAATTGAAACGATGCTTCCCTGGTAGGTAGGTGAAGGAGGTTGCTTCTTTTAGATTTCTCCCATTTATGCTGATTGTTGTCTGTTGTTGTTGCTGCTGTTGGTGTTGCCCAGGAATCTTCATCACCTCTGTTTTCTCTATGTTCACCTGAAGACAATTCCTATTTTCGATGCTTCTTCTGCCAACTTATTGCTTTTCATTGACATATCTTCCAGTTCGTGGGAAATCAGACATATATCATCGGCGAAGTTCAGATCCTCCAAGTTTTCGTGTGAGTCCATTTTATGCCTGTTTCCTCATTGCCCACTGTTTGTCGCATTATCCAGTCTACTGCAATCAGGAAAATCATTGGCGATAGTAGGCAGCCTTGTCTTACTCCTGTCCTTACTTCGAAGGGTTCCGTAAGTTTCCCATTGTGGATTACTTGGCATGCAGCATTGTCGTACAACTATTGGATGAGATGTATAATTGTCGGTGGCACCCCTTGGTAGTAGCGAAGCAGTTTCCAAATCACCTCTCAATCGACGCTGTCGAAGGCCCTTTCAAAGTCGATGAAGTTGAGATCTCTGTTCAATGATGATCCGTAGTCTGGCGATTTGATCAATACATGACTTGTTTCTCCTGAATCCAGCCTGTTCCGATCGAAGTTTTTCATCCAGGGCTTGCTTGATTGTCTCCAGGATGATGCGGCTTAGTATTTTGCTTGGGATGGACAGGAGCATTATTTTATTTGAGTATTTATTACAGTGTGTCGGTTTCCTATAAATGCTAGTAACTATCCTCTCACCATCTCATTTTCGTTTTATTCTACAATCTAGCAAACGGAATTCGGGGAGAAAAAAAGAGAGTATACATATATATAAGACAAATTGTGAAAACGCGTGACTAAAATTGATATGATTACGAGCAGTTATAATTTATACTCGAAACCACCTTGTCATCCATTTGTTAATACTGCATCTGTATCACTGTGTGTGATAATTAAAATAAACTAATATGGAACTACATTCTACTACCACAGTACCCAAGTTCTACACTTACATTAAAGAGGTCATATCCTATAAGATTACACCTACAAGACCCAGTTATCAGGCTTTCTACGCATGAGCTTCAAACCACCGACCATCAGTTGAAAGTATACCACGATAATGAATGCACCGCAAAATTCACTCATAGAATTCAGTCGATAGTAAGTAGCCGGACAACAGCAGCGGTTACGTCCTAACAATAAACTAAAATTCATTATATATATTATCAATCTCAAAACCTGACAGTTACCAGTTTATCAGTGGACATTACATAACAAGAATTCACTTAAACACTATCGATTTTCTAATATACAAACTAGATTAATCGCCATAGTAAACACAGAGAGCAATCAGACTGAATGTGAATGTATTCACAATTTACTTGAATCAATGAATCAATAATAAAAAATGATGATAATAATAATAATACAAATAATGCATTCAAACAAAATATTATTATTTATCATAATTTAAAAATTTATTTTAGAAAAAAAATTTTTTAATTTCTATTACTCACATAAAATGAATTAATTCATAGCTACTAAGAATTTGTTTTAGAAATATATAATATATGTGTATATATGTATTGTACATTGAACAAACTGGAAATCGGAATGGAAGCGGTACTTACAAGAATTTGTAAGTAGTATATCGATTAAAATGTTATTTTCTTATCGATTCGTTGATTGATTGATTGATTAAGTTGTTTACTTATTGATTATTATTATTATTTTTAAAAGGAAGAGAGTACCAACTAATTTACCTAGTTTACAATAACTATATTCATAGTAATGTTAGTAATAATAATAGTAATAGTAATAGTAAGGATAACGAAATCTACTGGAAAAGGAGAGAAAACTGAAGACAGATGATATAATCGTTCTCTATTTCTGTATTTATTTTCTTCTTCTGGTTCTTCTCCTTCAGTTATTTATTTATTTATTTTCAAATATTTTTGTTTACTACTTATCATTTGACTATTTTTGTTTGTTTTGTTTTTCGCTATTCAACTATGATGAATATAAATAAGCCAATAGGCTAATTGTTGTTGTCAATAGGATAGATTGTATTTGAGCTGTATTCGATAAGGTACCGTGGTTGCATGAATCTCCACCGCATATACAATAACGTAGTTTCACTTTCTCTGTACCAACTCTATCCATACAGTGATTCACTTCAGCTCGGATTGCACTACAATCACGATAGACACGTGTTACTGGCTTATTGGAATTATTAGCTCCAGACGAAGCGAATGGTGCATCCTGTTTTTGGGTTGTATGATAGAAAAGAAAAGAAACAGGGATAAACTTATTAAAAGTTGATCAGGTGTTAACTATATAAACATAAATATTGTTTTATTCAAGGGTTGGTTTGTAGGGAATTGATTTTATTAGCTACAGGATTTCATCATGAGCTCAAATCAGTTGCAGCACCATTGGAAAACCAACAAGGGGGTACTGGATACCTGTTTCACCCACATAGTTTGAGACTCTTCAGCGGCATGCAGCCACTCCACTCCTAGGGCTCGAACCCAGCACCTACCAGTTACAAGGCCAGCGACCTCGTAGACCACTGAGCCACTGGGACCCGATCCAGTGGACTGTTCATGAATTTCGACTCCCGCTAACTCACGATATAACGAGACTGGCGCGAGCCAGTGTCATCGCTGGCGAGTATTCTTCCTCACATCCGACCTGGTAGACCCTACTGGTCATAACTTCTCACTAGAACCCAGGTAACTACCTACCTACCTGATTAGGGCCAGTGGCTATTGAACATCGGATTATTATCAAGGTAGGTAGTTACCTGAGTTCTAGTGAAAGGTCGTGGTTAGTGGGGTCCACCAGGTCGGGTGTGAGGACAAATACTCATCGGCGATGACACTGGCTCGTGCCAATCGCGCTATATCGTGAACTGGAAGAAGTCTGAATTCATGGACTTGTCATTGGATCGAGTCCCAGTGGCTCAATGGTCTATCAGCTCGCTAACCTCGTAACTGGAAGGTTCTGGGTTCGAACCCTGTCGGTGGGGTGGATGAGTACTTCTGATAGGTCCCAAACTAGGCTGACGAAACAGGTGTTCAGTACTCCCTGGTGGTCTTCAATGGTTCTGTAACCGATCTTAGCTCATAATGAAATCCTGTAACCAGTCAAATGCCCCCAAACCAGTATTTGAATATCTAGATGACTTCGCAGTCGTCGCATGGTATTGAAAGTTGTGAAATGTAGTCAGTAAATAATACCGCAACATTGCATCAAATAAATTTATTTTGTCATGGAACTAACGTTTTCTGTCAGGTGAAATAAACATTTATAAAAAGCACAAACGATGGTGAAATTATTTGTGATAAACTTGAGATAGCCAGACAAACAGCTCTTCCCCTTCTACTTTTGCATGATTGGAGTAGATGAGACAAAACTTGGCTGGGTTAGCTAACGTGATGACAAACGGTGAGGTAGTTTTACTTGATTCACGTCTATATATCGTCTATTCACGTGACAGCTGTGCACTATCCATAGAGATCTTACTAAATTATGGACTGATTTATAGCTGGATCTCATGATTCAGCAGATCAAGTACAAGCCTAATCAAGCAGGAAGCCGCTTGTTCTAATCCCTGAGACTTTCAACTGACATTCATTCACTGTGTATTACGTCAATCAATAACATTCTGCCACACGAAGACTCTCTCATATAATCTCACCACTACCAGTCAGAAATCTGCTTTTCTTCTTACTAATCAGGATGAGTAGGATTGAAAGGTGAAGACCTAGAATGCCAGTCAGTATGATGACGATGATGTCCAAATGTTGAAATATTCATCAACGAAGACAGAATACAACCACTGTATCAAGTATAATTATATTTCAACTGTTTTATATTGATTTTCGACTCACTGATTACATAAAAATTTATTCTCAAAAAGAATTTGGCTATCACATGTAGTTGATTCAGACAAATAGTTTATAAGTCAATAGATGGTGACTAGCATTGGAATGCTTCAGGGTAAGCACTTCGCCATATTTGGGACTCATCTGCCAGCTGGATGTACCTGCATTCCACAGTGAATGATCATGTTCCCATTGATGCTCGAACCCAGTACGCAGAGTTTCAAACTCCAAAGGGTTATCCACTAAACGACTAGTCACTATCCAGTACATTACTTCAGGGTAAATAAATCCTCAGACATCATCGAAGAATACGCACAGGTGGACAACAAGTCAACAGAGACCGAGAACTACGGTCTATTCAATCGACAGGAAAGTCCAAATCACATTAAACAGCTAATAAATTCAGGAATTCAGTTTCTTATCATGGTGATATGATCAACTTATATCTCTTTCTGATCAGTATTTTTTCCCACATAGACAATCCTCGTAGTGGAAGGTACTTAATGAACTGAAATGAACTCATTTTTTATTGTAAAAGTATACACAAAATGCAACAGTTCAACTTGTCACACTTTATAAACGCAAATGAAGATTTGAAAATATATTAAAATACAAACGAACTATAAAAACCAGGAATGTACCGGAGAAAGAGTAATTACATGAGGAGTAATGAGATTTTTTATGGATCTAGATATCAAAAGGATCGATACATCTATATCACTGAGGACGATTTTGAGCCTCTGAATCTTGGTTTCTCGATGACCTCAGCTGGGCAGCCTACATCTCCCTATGTGACTCAAACCAACAGTCAGATAATTCATGAATTAGTGGTAATTACTTATGCCTCTTGGGCTTCACAACCTCATCTATTGATTTTCCCCTCTTACTTAGTACTCTAAGCCTAACTGCTCTGTTACTCCATAATGGATAGGATTTTATTTTAATAAATCACACAGTGTTGTATAGTTAAATTAACTGATGACGTTTCGAGCACAAACTATTGCTCATAATCATATCAAGTCACTACTCACACAACTTTTTTCCTTCATTTATATACATGTGTGGAATCGATTAGATATTCGAATAAAATTCAATATGAGATAATGTACATTCAGAAATAATAGTACGAGTGTTATTAATCCATTGCAATTAGATGGGAAATACGACTAGTGTTGTTATAGTCATAATAAGTTAATTGTTAGAATGTTTTGATGTGTTTGAATTGAAATAGAATTTTATGATTATTTATTATTCTCTTCTGATTTGACCAAAGGTAATAATATCTTCCATATTTCTGGTACTTGCATTGAGTCATTTCTGTTGCATGTATTGGGTGTACACTCAATGAACAAGGATTCCGTAATCAACCTCTCTCTCCACCTACCTATATCACTTTTAATACATAGTTTTAATAGTTAGAATCGACTCATTTCACTCAGCTATATCAATATGAGAAGAAAACTGATGAGACCTTAACCCTACTGAACGTGTACAACTCAATTAGCTAAGAAACGTGATTAATTCATTATTGTCTGAAACTACTTATATCAATGCTCACAAACTCTATAGATTATAAAATAGATTGTCAGATATATTAGAGAAAACTTTCGACTTTTACAAGGAACTGAAACTACCTCGACGACCTGCGAAAATGGCGAAATGATGGGATGATGTTTTTTTCCCTATTGTGGAAGACTATTCAGCAACAATATAGTGAAGATAAGTGAACGCCGAGATAGACAAATTTAGAAAAATGATGATAACAGTATATTTATTCATATTTGTGGCTTCTCGTTCGACAAATCTGAACAGAAATGACTGCTTTTATTCTGACACTTAGTGTCTTAAATATTATAATAACTAATAACTCGGAGTTACTTGTTTCGTGCTGGCTAACTATGGAACCCAGGACGCGCTCTTCGTTCTATTTGGGACACGTTAGATGGATGTACATGCTCCTGTGTGTGGGGGCAGTTTTCCGACTGAGCCTAGGCCCAATGGATAACCTTTTGGCTTTTGAAGTAATTAGTGTCAGGTCGCAGTCTCAATGAGAACACCTTCTATTACTAGGAAGAATATGCTTTCAGTAGAGAAGTGACTGGTCTGATTTTACTCAGATAACTTGATAAAATATAGGCAGATAATGTTTAGGAATTTAAGGTAAGGTGAAAACCAAGGACCTATCAGGACTCGGACTAACTAATGGCTTTCAAATGACCATTTCCACTATCTATCAGATGAGTTGCACTACCTAACAGCTAATCAGGCCATCATTTCACCACAATCAACACGTGTACCGTCCAGATATCGTGTGAATGAATGATATATTACTGACCATTCAGTATCATCACATTATCGAACCCAACCAGGTGTTCCTTCTGCTGGTAATCTTAACCACATTAAACTAAAAGCAGAGGCTTTTGCATCACTGATGACATCAATATGAGTAAGCTGTCTGTTATTGCAATCAATTCCTGTCTGTTAGTCTAACAGTATTTCACACATAATCTTATCAAGAAAAAATCAATAAAGTCAATTCACACAAAAGTTAAACAGGTGTCACTATCACTTAATTTGATAATGACTCATATTTCGTATTAAATGATGTATCTTTATTTGTATTTAAAAAAATTCAATTCTGAATGATTTCACCTTGTATCAAAACAGACGAAACTGTCTATTCAGTAATATATTTATTCATGAACTCGAATTCCTTTATGTCTCAATCTACATCCTGAGAGAACTACTTATTTCTTTGACAGATTCTGGAATAGTGACATAATTACTGGCACCCAATACATGCAGTATTTATGTGTTGGTTTGTGGGAATTTGATTGGGTATTGGATTTCATCATGAGTTGAAATCAGTTACAGGACCATTGGAAAACCACCAGGGAGTACTGGACACCTGTTTTGTCAGCCCGGTTTGGGACTCTTCAGAAACGTGCACCCACCACCAGGATTCGAATCCAGGACCTTCTTATCACAAGGCGAGCTCGTAGACATAGGCTAGTGCCAGTCGCGTTATGTCGTGAATTGGCAGGAGTTGGGATCCATGGACTGGTCATTGGATCAAGTCCCAGTGGCCAGCCTTGTAACAGGAAGGTGCTGGGTTCAAACCCTGTCAGTGGGGCGGAGCGTACAGGTGAAGAGTCGCAAACTAGGCTGACGAAACAGGTGTCCAGTACTCCCTATTTGGTCTTCACTGGTTCTCTAACCGATGTCAGCTTATAACGAAATCTTGGAGTCAATGAAATCCCTGAAATCCAACACTTGAATATCCACCTAATGCTCACTAGTTACTGGCCGTATTCACGTAGGTAGGTAATTACCTGGTTTCTAATGAGAAGTCGTGACCAGTGGGATCCACCA